CGGGCGGCCCGCTAAGGTGTCGAGCTTAATAGACTTCGGATTCCTAACGTCTTACCTCCGATCATCCGGTGATATTCGTTTTCCGAAAAACTCTATTCCTATTGGTTTCGGGTCAACCAATAGGATTTCGAGGCGAACGGACTCCAGATTCGAACTCACCGCCTCTAAAAACTCCTACCTGACTGTGTTCGTGAAAACGCAATTTTGATTAGCTGGTTTCTTAGCAGCAGAATTCCTATTGGTTTTCGGCCAACCAATCAGATTTCGAGGCAAATGGACCGCAGATTCAAGCTCAGCACCTTCGAAAACCTCTAGGCACATGTCTTGTGCTTGCTTGCAACGTGCTACTTAGTAGTCCTCTGAGAACCTCCTCACTGGGGGGGGGGGGGGGGGGGGGGCGATGACCTCGTCATGACCTTCTCCTGGACGAAAGGATATACCATGCAAAATTTGGTCGCATTTGCTTCTACGGTGTGGATAAAGAACAGAAAATACTGAGGAGAATCTTCTCACCCCTGGGGGGGGGGGGGGCGGCTAACCCCGCCATGACCTTCCACTGGACGAAAGAGTATTCCCTGCAAAATTTCGTTGCATTTGGTCGTACCCTGTCCAAATGCATGAAGAACAGACAAACAAACAGACATTCTTCTTTATATATATATAGATAAAGCCAATAAATCGATTCAATTAGACTTATTATTAAAATCAGTTAAGATTTATTGACTTGAGCAATATCGGCATTTTTTAATCATCTAAATATATTTGACAATTAATACATATTGACCTAAAAGAAATTACGTTAGCGCCCTCTTTCCTTTTATTGTATTCGTACTGCAACTATTCGCTGCTATGGTTGACCAAACATTTGTATTTGTTGACTATTGGTTCATTTGATTTACTATCCTATATTGGTACGTACCCACACGACGACAAAGTGAATAATCAATATCGAAAAATGCACTAAGAGAGGGCGCCACATATCTTGCCACTTTTTCAAGAACTTTTGATACTACATTTTGAACTCATCAAGTGATTTAATAATTTTGGTAATAATAGTTTTTCGTGCCCTAGTCCGGTTTAAGAGATCATCACTGATCGGTCGCTAACTACGCATGGAACTTACTGTCAGAGTCAAACAATGATGAGAATGAGTAACGTGAAGATGCTTTCAGCCAATCATGTTAAAAAAATTACTAACGACACCTAGCGGAGCTTTTGAATACCTCGTTTTTATAGAAAACCAAAATTACCATATCATAGAGAAAAATTTTCTCTATCTACTGATACCTAAGTGATATTTGGCCCTTCTCAAAATCAGAAAACACCAATCATGTTGGACTCGCTTTTGTTTCTCTTATTTCACTATGTTCTTTGCCGTGTGGGTCCGTACTATATCATATTCAATCGTACTTTATATATTAGAATTATTTATTATTATTAATTTTTGTAATACAAAGCATCTTTTTCGTGATAATATTTTCATCGCTATTTCAATCAATTGGTAATAATCGTTGTGGTTATGTATGTTTTTTTTTTCAATATGATCTAGTTTTAATGTTTTTGTTCTTGACACTCATAGTATTTCCGGTGAGATTAATCATCTCTGTTTGAAGCCAGGTAAAATGAAATCCAACAGAAGTGAATGACACAATCTATTTTACCTTCTTTTTAATTTTCTTTTAATGAGATTCATTAGTTTTTATATCAATATGTTTTTATTGGGTGTAGGAAAATTGGTCGAACGAAAACTGGCCGCAGAAAATTAGTAACTACGAAAATTGATTGACGAAAAAAGTAGTGGAAAAGTTCTTAATTACAAAGAAGAAAAAAGAATTTTGTCATAAGAGTGACATTAGTGCAAAAAATAAATTAATATTAGTATATAATTTGTCAATGGGACTTTTAATACATTTGTTGTAGTACTTTGTGCAAATAAAGTAGACTTTAATCTCTTTCTAGAACAGTTGGTTTTAAGCATACGAGGACATGAGAATATAAAAAGCTGCGAGTATTGAGATGGATCCTCTTGAACCGCATCGTGCTCTACAATTTACACCAGTACTAGCACTCACACTACAGGTGCACCAACGCTGACAATTATACTGCACTCTCAAAAAGCTTTTTTCGCAGATCTGCGACTCTATCACAATTAATTTCAATACAGTTTCAAGAAAAACGCGTGAATTTAACATTTTTAATTTAAAAAAATTCTCGATCATATGCCGTATGACCTACACAAAAAAATCGGTTGTAGTGATGGACTTTTTATCAACGGAGTCTTCCATTTTCTTCTCGTAATACTTTCGCTAATTCGTCGTATTTCAAGTTTTCATTTTATTATTTTTTTATTCGGAATTCTTCGACTATTTTTCTCATCAATCAATTTTCGTAGTAGCTAATTTTCGTAGCGACTAATTTTCGTATCAACCAATTTTCTTCCACCAATTTTCGTTCGACTAGTTTTCGTCTTCCCGTTTTTATTTAAGGTTTTGCTATTATAATCATCTACTGATTTATTTCATATTAAGTTCCTCATTTGTTGGTAGTACAATTTGTTATCTTCATCTTTGATTTAGGCGAGATGAGTTTTTGTTCTTTTTTATTCTTATGCTTTCTTTTTTCCATATTTCTTTAACTACAAATACATTTGAAATTTGTACTTAGTTTTTGGTTTTCATTTTGACAAATGGCTAAATTTGATCGGATTGGAATTTTTGATTATGTGACTAGAACATGGCAAAGCACCTTGAAAGTGGAAGACCTCGACACCGTCATGGAGACTATGAAAGCATTGGAACTCAATTCAATTCAACTCGATCCTGATCAAGATCGATTCTTATTCTTTGATCCTGATGCTGAGCGATATGGTGAATTCGATATCCATATTTTATCAAACACAAACAAAGTATATAAGGATGTTCGATTACATAAATTAGAACAAGAGATTATTGATGAAAAAATAGGAATTTTCAATATGAACAACGCTGATTTCGGTATAGAAACATCTGGGAAAGAAAAAAAAGGAAAAAAAAGACAAAATAAGAAAAAATCCACGAATATTGGTGGTATGTCAAACAACAACAAAGTTTTTCAAAACATTCATAGTGATATAAGCAAAGTTGATGATTCAAATGTTATTGGTAAGTTCTGTTCCGAACGTTGGACAAACTTTAAAAAAATATTGTATCGAATTCCATTGTATTCTATTGCAAACTATTTTTTCCTTCTAGAAACTATGACAACTATTGATGATATTATACAAGAAAAAGAACATTCAACAGATATTATTGACATCGAATTAGAAATCGATCGATGTACAATTATAAAAGAAGAAGATGATGAAGAAAATAAAGATGATGATGAAGAAAATAAAGATGATGATGATGAAGAAAAAACGATAAAGTATGAAAAACAAGATAATACTGTGAACTCATCGATCATTTCTCTTTGATTTAGTACCACCGAAAAATTTCAAGCAACAACACCTTTCGAAAATTACCTTATTAATGAGCTCGGTTCAATCAAGAACAAATTATATTCAATAGAAAAACGATTCAATCATATAGACAAACGGCTTAGTCGAATAGAAAAACGATCGGCAGTTACATATGAAATAGCATCAGAAACACGTGTTATTCATACGCTTCGATAGCTTGGTATGACTTCGATTTCCGGCTTATCGGGCGAATTTTACCATGTTGATGAATATCGAACTGTTTTAAATGCTCTTGGAAATGATTTGAAGAAAAATTATTATCATCGTTGGATGATGTACAATCGCTATGTTGACATTTCTCTTTGTCCTCAAACAATAGAAATTAATTTAATTGGTAAGTTCAAATATTATAATTCTCTTTAAAGAACATCGAGAGAGAGAAAAAGAGAGAGAGAGAGCAGCAAAACAAAATACAAATTCATATTTTTCAGAACAAACCTTTTCATATGAGAATAATTGAAATAATTTTTTCTTTTTGTTTTCTACTATTAACAATAATTTGACAACGTATTCTTTCTTCATTTAGTTTTTCTTCTATTGTCCTTTATTCAAGTATCGTCATCCAATTATATTGAATCAGAATCTTCATATATTAGGTTTTGGTTGTTTACCAAATGTTTCTGGTAATTGGACATCTCCTCCTCGTTCTACTTCAATATTTTCGCTGCGACCTTCGTCATCGAAGTACAACTCGTCTGCTTGGGAGAAGAAGACCAAAGACAAGTTCACGTCGTTTTCTCATCTAGCTGTTGTAGAAGCAACAATATCTGAAGTTAGTTTTAATGTTCAATATTTATCAAATGTTTCAAACATTAATGATAAAGGTTAGTCTTATTTTCAGTTCTAAACAAATATTCATAAGATATTTGCTTGCATTTTTTCTATTTATTTGATTAATTGCTTCTCTAATAATGATATTAACAAGCTTTTTCTCTTAGATATGTCTATTGAATTCATTTTACCATTAGATATATCAATGCGAAAACATGATATTTCATACGTTACTTACATTGAAAGACTTTAAAATATTTTAACATATATTAATATAATTCGAATCACTTCGATACATTTTCTTTTACTTTTGTATTTTTTCTGTTAATCTTTCTACTTATATCAAAATGATATTAACCCAATAAAAGCTATATAATCAGTAGGCATAATGCATAATATACTATTCAAGTTTCTAATAAGACACTTGAACAGTAGGAAAATCCTATATACTATGTAGTTAGTTTCCAATGGCATATTTTCTGTTATTGATAATCATCAATTAAAAGACAATATTTATACAATAACTATATATTACTAGTAGAACCAAACTAAAATAGAGCAGTCATCGTTATGATATCAATAACTAAATAATGGGTAGTTTGAAAAATTCGGCACCTCCATATTTTGATTACAATAAAGTATTTCGTAGAATAAGTATTTTTTAGTTTTTTTTTTTCGTTAAGTTTAACAAAAGATAATCGAGTAGAAGAAACCATTTTCTCAAAATTTTTTAGCTAAACTTTTCGATGAGAGAAGAGTATTTCGAGGAAATATTGAATTGTTTTTAAAGTTTGACGAAAGATAATCGATGCATGGGCGGGCCGGCCTGAGGGCGAGGGGTGGCAATTGCCCCTCCTGGAAAATTTTTGGGAGGGCAATAAAACCTTATTGCCCTCAGCACTGGTAAAGTTTTCTTCTTAAATGATCGTCAGATTCATGGAGGTGTAAAGCTGTTTTTAATTGCCTATGCTTCTGATCTATTTGAAACACTGAGTTATTCGCTCTTCTGTCACTTATACGTCCGTTAGGGATCACTATATCATTCGATATATTCTCTTTCTCTCCATATGACATCTCTCACTGTATTCGCTTTATTTTCCTCTCCATACAGTAACATTTACTATGTTCTCTTTCGACGAACTATTGATTGCTTCTATATATGTATACCTTTATCTTCTTGTCTAGACAAGAAGATAAAGGTATACATATATAGAAGCAATCAATAGTTCACAGAAAGAGAAAAAAAGATAAAATATGTGGAGGAAATATTGTGTTCATTCATTATCTTCTCTCTCTCCCCTGTTCCTCTTTCTATCTATATAAGGCATCGTTTCGCGCATTGATTTGGCGTATCACTTAAATTCTTTCAAAGCATGTCTGAAAAAGGCACACTCAACTTTTATTTCAGAAAACAAAAAGCTAATATTGTTCAAGAAGAATGTGCAAGCAGTAATTCAATTCAATCAACCACTATCGAAGATTCGTGTCATCCAAATTTGGAATTTAACCATTCATCGGTATCTTCCTCCATTTCCTCATCATTAACGAAAGAAACAATAATTCTCGATGTCGAAGACGAACCGATAGCAAAACTGTTAGCGTCAATAGAGGTCATTCTATTATCGCTAACTGTACAGTTGTGATATAGTGACTTTCCTTTTTCCTCTCTATAGTTCATATATGTAGTTCCATTGGATTGTCCACTGTTTATATATATATGTTTTTTCCCATTCCTCTTCATCTATGAGTCAGTTGTTGTTTTTCTTCTTTCCCGGTGATATACTTATTATTATCATTATTGTTATTATTGTCATATTTGTTATTATTTCTTCCTTTCGTTACCTTTCTCTTTCTTTTCCATTATATTATCATTCTCATCCCCATTGTTATTAATAAAACATTAACCGGTTAATTAACCTATTCTCTTCATTTATCATTACAAGGTCCGGTAAGAATGTTTATTTACTTTTACGTGAGATCTCTCGTTCCCGTTGCAGACCGGGTATTTAATATTTGATTGTTTTCTGGCCTAACCTTAGAGTGGGGCAAGAGTCTAAGACATTCCCATAAACGAGAACCTCACAAAAACGTTCACGACTTGTTGATAGTACTAATATTGTGGAGCCTTTCAAACGTGATCCGTGACGTGGACCATCTTTAGCCAAAGAATTCATTTTAATTGGACCGTATCAACCAAAATGTCACTATCCGACTGTTCAAAATCGTCATTTTCGTCATGAATGGTTTCAAACATACCAATGGCTTGAGTATAGTGAAACAAATGACAAGGCGTACTGTTTTGTTTGTCGATTTGCTTATGATTCGCTAAAGTCTGATGGTGCATTCACAAATACCGATTTCAACCACTGGAAAAATGGTGTCGACAAGTTCAACAAACATCAATCGACAATATCACATAAACAAGCATACGAGACCTGGGTGAACGCCAAAAAAAATCGATTGAATAATACAGGTGTATTGAGACAGATTGATCGACAATTCGATAAACAATCCGAAGAAAATCGACTCTATTTGAAAGAAATTATTCGAACAATTGTATTTCTTGCAAAGCAAAGTTTACCTTTTCGTGGTCATCGAGAACACGACGAGTCCGATAATCGCGGTAATTTTCTCGAACTACTCGAACTGCGTAGTCGTGACAATGAAATTATCGGAAAAAATATTCATTCATTAAAATTTGCCGATCACAAAATTCAAAATGAACTATTGATTTTTATTCAGGAAAATATTACAAAACAAATTGTGTCGGACATTAAAAAGTACAAATATTTTTCTGTTATGATCGACGAGACGGCAGATATTTCAAGAAAAGAGCAAGTTTCATTAGTTATTCCCTATGTCGATGATCTGTTTAATGTATTTGAGAGATTTATTGGTTTCGACCGAACATTTGATACAACAGGTGAAAGCTTGTTTAATTTATTAGTATCATGGATCAAAAAACTTGATTTAAATGTGAAAAATATCGTCGGTCAGTGTTATGACGGGGCGAGTTCGATGCGTGGTGAATACAAGGGCGTTGCAACACGATTAAAACAATTATCACCAAAAGGTATGTGCTAGTTTTAAAACTAAGAGTCTTTAGTTCATAAAAAGCTTCTCTAACGGCAGTATTCTCAACAGCTGAAAAAGAAAACATTCGACTAGATCAGCAAAAATTTCTTTTATGGCTTTGAAACTATAGTCCAAACAATCAAAAGTATGAGTTAGAATTTTACTTTTTTCAAATTCATGATGATGTGTTATTTTTTTTTTATATACTATAGACTGATATAGATCGGTCATATATTTACTATTATAATCCTATACTGGTCCTCTACCTATGTTGTATATCTCGGATTTTTATCTTTATGTATATGTGTATATATAATATCAACTGTAATGATT